GCATATTCCTCTACAAGCTGCTCGAGTGGAACCTAACTCTCACCAATTGAATACAGAAAGAATGAAGGCTGTTTGTTGCAGTGTAAGGGGCATAACGCGTTCGAGAACTTTCCATGGAAGTAATAACAAAGCAGTGAGATTCTGGCCACATCCAAACTTTGAGAAAGGGATTACGGGGTGGAAAATAATTTGTCACCTGGACAGCTCCTACATATATATATATATATATATATATATATATATATGACAGCATACTCCATTTTAGGTCTGATTTGGTTCTTGTAAAGGTAGAGGATAGCATCAGGAGTCTGGTACTTACTGTAGCGGTACAGGAAATCGACCATTTTTCCTGAATCATATGTCCGAGTTCCATGAAGTCAGGTGTGAGTTTAAGACGAATATTCTCTCGAGACACGGAGTCTCCTTGAGGGGACATCCATTCATCGTGACTAGTGGTTGTTCGGGGTCTCATCGGCGATGATGGAATGTAATTAGTTTGGTTTTCGAGGCATTGAATGTAACCAGCCAGTCTCTCCCGACACAACTGAGCAGTTCGAGCTAGATCAGATGAGAGATCAGCTGCCAATCTCTGGCCATCACGAATTTTGAAGGTGCACGCGTATGACATTGTATCACCAGCAAAGATAAATGATCTGAGTATAGTCTTAGGCAGATCATTTACGTAAAGGTTGGTTTGAGAAGCGACCACTGGGGAAGACCAGCGTTGATTGCTAGGGCCCTGGAGGACTACCCTTTAGGAAAGACATTATAATTGAGAAGACTTTTCAAGCAATTTAATAGCTAGAGAGATTGAGCAGCAAACAAACATTTGTGCCTCACCTTGTCAAAGGTCTTCGAAATATCTAATGCTATAGTCTTTTGGATGTATCTGTTGTCTAGAACCTTACGGATTCTGTCAGTAATGGTTGTTAGAACAATAACGTGGGAATAACGTTTCATTTACGTTTTTCAGACCTCCCATTATTATTATTATTATTATTATTATTATTATTATTATTTGTGTATGTTATGTCTCCTGCTTTGTATCCTGTAGAGACGTGTCCAAACTATAGTCCTTAGGCCTTATAAGAGAATTGTTATTTAATTGATAGCACTGTTCCTAGCTGGGCGATCTTCTAGGCAACTTGTATGTTGATGCTACCTGAGAAAGTGTTAGTAAAATTGCCCATTCCTTTTCTCACAAGGCTCAGAGCTCTGGTTACTATTGGTACAGTCTGTCTTCATTCCCTACACCATGTTAATCTCGAGGTCCTTGTATTTGGACAATTTCTCGATAATTTTCATGGAGGTGTACTGTCGCTATGACTGCAGTATATGTGCTGTTCCTTACGGAACTCGAGACATGAGGTGTCGTTATCAACGTCGTATCACAGACGAATTGTTACGCTAACTGCAGTATAGCACTTCGATATTTAACAATTTAATTTGGCATACGTCAGCAATAATTCACCCTTTAGCTAGAGAGTTGAATGCACATAACGAGAATGCTTTCTTAAGCGCCGCTTTACAGTGTAATTTGTGTGTCCTGCTTTGCATCCTGTGGAGACGGGTTTAAACTATGGTCCCTAGAGAATTGTCATTTAATTGATAGCTCTTTTCTTGTATGAAAATGGATGTCAGTTATCAGTTATCTCCTGTTAATTCCCCTCTCCAAGTTCTCAACTGCCTTAACCAGGTATTGAACTCACACTATTTGGGTCCTTTCACTGGATCTGACCAACGCCTTTATCCACTGTGCCAGTGAGCGAAATAAAAGTTTCAGTTCGACATTCCAACCACCTGAAGAAGGCCGGAGCGTACAACGGCCGAAACGTTGTAATAAATATGGCGACGAAGATGAGGACAATATTCCGAAAAATGTAAATAGTGTTGATATTATTATTATTATTATTATTATTATTATTATTATTATTATTATTATTAATGTTGGGTAAAGAGCTGAACCTATGAGAGGTACTGTTAAGGCCACTCGTATGTCTTTGGTACCACCCACCAGGATTAATCAAATTTTCTAAACATCGTAAAAGGACTCCCAGAAGAATTGGCTTTCAATTTGAATGCTATTAATAGGAAATGAAAGCCCACGAGACGAAAAAAACTAATTAACTCAGACTAAGTTTCTTGAGCATTTCAATTTCCCCGACGAAACACTGTCGGAAAATCAAAATGAATCAGCTTGAATATGTTTTCATTTGCTTAATATTAAACGAAAACATCGCTGCATTACATTGAGGATGTTGTGGTGTCTTCCCTCTAATGAGTCTATTGTGGACTCTTCCACTTACTAGAAAGTTAGTAGGAAAAGTAAGCCTCGGGGGAACAGTGATATACACTGAACGCTGGTCAACCGACACATATTCCCAAATCGTGTAACTCACTTCTGTTGTATTTACTGTTCAATACACTATTTATCTGTAACCTCTTATTTTGTTATTTATTAACCAATTACTTGGTCAAAACAGAGGAGTAGCTAGGATCGCTTATCGCCCGGTTCGCACGCATTCCTCATCTTTTGAACAGGAGTAGAGGTTTATCTTGTAGCAGAAAAATACAATCTACATATAGAGATAACAAAGTAAAGCAAGATTTATGCTATTATTAAAAAAAAATATTACTACACAGAAACGTGTCTTAGACACCCCGCACTCTAACCAAAAAAATCAATTTAAAACAAACACAAATATACCAGAGTGCTGGCCTTTATAGACGCGACCTCTTCTGGTCACAGATGACTACGTCTAAGTCCGTGTGCTTCCCTTATATTGGCTATAAGAGAAGCCGGACAGGACAGAGAGACCAGAGAGTAGAACGAGAGGAGAAGAGAAAACAGAGCGAGATATAGAGCAGAGACAGAAAGCCGTTAACCATAGAGGCTACCTGAGATCACGGCTGAATGCCCGTCCGACCCTTTGGCTGTGTAAATGACTTCCTGTGAACACAGAAAGAGAACGGACTCCACTATCAACGCGACAAGCCCAAATCAATAGCCAACAAGCAGTCAGCCGGATTAAGCATACTCCTTTTTTTCAGGCTCTGATTTCACACCTCGTACACCATACAATCGACCGTTACACTATATGACTTACCAGAGACATTTCCGTATCTTTGCTCATTTCTCTAAACTAGTGTCTAATTTGTTTCTTTACTCCAACGCACTTCCACCTCGGACCAATCTCTTGTTTCCTTTTTAGTATTAGGTTTCCGGTTCTTTCGGCTAAAGTATGCTCAGTAATATTCAATAATGGATAGCTATACACAGTTTTTGCCTTACCTCTTGCATCTCAGAAAGAGATGGAAAGTACATGGTTAATAAAAGTGCTTCTCACTGTTACAGTGAATTCCTTGTCTCATTTAATTGTAAAATACGGAAAAATATTTATAATTGTAAAGGGATTATGATCAAAATGAGCAGACATAACATTTTTAAATGAATAATCCCAAGGAGGATGAAATCCGGCGAGCTCAATGTTAAGTCAGAGCAGATAATATATATATATATATATATATATATATATATATATATATATATAAAGAAAACAGACCACTTTAAGGTACCATTATAATAATTTATTTCACCAGAGCCCTTTTAAAGGACGCCGGATCATCAGATAGCACTTCCAAAAATGAAATGAAACGAAAAATGAAATTAAAATTGATGGTTAGTGTAAGTTTTTGTAATTTAACAGAGAGTGTAAAAGGTGTAGTTAAAGAGACATGGTAGAGTTTAGTTTACCCATACGGATTACCAAGTTCTTCATAACTATATATATATATATATATATATATATATATATATATATATATATATATATATACCAGGTAGTGTTTTTTCCCAGGTTTTCAGAGAAGACATTTAGCCATCTTGACACCATTTGTTGTAAGAATCATTGAAAATTCATATTCAGCTAGAAATAAAACAGGTTAAAATCGTTTTGTGTCAGCACCACTGTTTTCCCAACTGAGCAATGGTGAGAGGAAAAAGATCATTCAGACCTTCAGTAATGGTACCAACATTTATAGTCTCGCTTTCATCTTCAAAGCTCATTCAAGAACCATCAAGAGAATGGTGAATAAGTTAACAGTAGAGAGAAAAACTGGATCAGAATGTCCCAACAGCAAAAGGGATCATCATTTCAATTTAGAGCTAAATACATTCTTATTGTTCAATGTAGAATCTAATAGTGTTATAAAACCTCGGAGAATTCCAGTAAGATATCTTTAATCATTTCTAAGATACAACGGTTCAAATCTTAATCTAACAATTTGTCAATTTTGCTGTAATACGATTTGGTTAGTTTTGCTCTCATACTCGGCATATGCAGCGTGTCCCAAAAGTCACGACGGGGTTTTGATATTAAATAAATATTTAAGGAATTGATATTTTTCTCTTATTCTTTCAGATTTAGAAAGTCGAAAATATGGAATGAATACGTTTACAGCTCAACAGCGAACGAAAGCTATACGACGTTATTTTGAAAATTATGAATGAATTATGTTGACGCAGGTGGCAAACCAACGTGAATTCAATGAGAGAATCCAGCCTTTGAATGAATAATTCGACGTTTGATGGGTTGTGTTCGGTAAACGGGCTTTGTATATGACTTGCCAAGATCAGAAAGACAAGGTTCATCTCACACAGAAGAAAATATTGAACGATTGAACATGTATTGAACAGCAGAGAAGAAAAACATGGAATGTCCATTCGAAGAGGCTCTTTACAGCTGAATGCGTCTCGAACATCATTACGCCACATGACGAGGAAAGATTTACACTAGGATCCTTGCAAAATCCAGGTGGTACAGGAAATGAAGTCAATAGATGATGAGCAGCTTATCATCCTTTTGCAGGTTATTTAAAGCCAGAAAATATTTTTAGATTGAAATAATTTTTTTTTTTTTTTTGAGCTCATTAAACTAATATAACGAACCCGACTGGAATTGGAACACGGCTCTCCGATTTCCAACATCGGACATCAAAGCTTACCACACTTGGCATTCCCAAGCGGTTACCCATCTAGGTGCTAACCAGCCTCGACGATGCTTAACTTCGCTAATCGTACGAGAATCAGTGTTTCAGCGTGATATGGCCGTAAGCCTAAAAAATCGAGATTAAAATGTTATTCGTTTGATAATGATCGATGTAACCTACATTTACATAATTAATTGAATTAAATTTCCATTTAATGATCTTCCTTATTAAGTAAGCGTAAATTAATAATATTTTCTAATTAAGGAGTTGTGTCCCTTTTAAACATCGTTGCGTCTTTTGGGATACCTAGTAATCAATATATTCACAGCTTCCAATGGAACAGTACTCAAGAACAGTATTTTAGAACATTTTGAAGTATTTTATATCAATACTGTATTATCTCATTATCCACATTAATTACATTTAAACTAATGTCCTTATCTTTGTTGTCATTACCACAACGTTTCGGCTGTTGTGCCTTCTTCAGGTATCTGCTGATCCAAGTAACCTTCGTGGAAATTTCGAACTGAGGCTGTTTTTTGTTATCGACGGAAGTATATTGGCCTTGTTCTGTTGCCCATGTCTCACTTTGTCCTCTTTTTAAGTTTTAATCCATTATCGTTCATTGTTACCATTGCGTCTAAATTTCAATTATCTGGCGCAAGGAGTGGACACACAATTATTAGGACACCAAATTCACGTATCAAGGCTTTAATCTATTAGGATTAAAGTACTGATCCAGGTAGTACAGTACTTTCCTATTGGGTTGAATCAGATGCCAGGGATTAATCGTTATCCTCTCTCTAGAATATTGCCGACTGCATCCCTGAAGAAGGTTAATACGCCACACCCAAAGTTGTCACTTACCTGGTGTGTGCTTCCGGATTCAAGTATCAACCTGATCAACGTTTACTTATCGACTCAAGTATAAACACAACAATTTTTTATTATTTTATTTTTTATTGATTGAACCCCAAGCAAGGCGATAATATCTCTAAGAGGCAAGACGATACTGGGAGTAAATGAGATTGAAAAGACTTTAGAAGGAACCGGAAACCCAATCCTAAACAGGAAACAAGGGATACAACTCTACTCCTGTTTAAAAGACCGAGTGTGTACCGGACGACAGATGAACCTATCTAGTCAAAGATACGCTCGACAAACGTTTACCTATAGGCACAAATAAAAACCTTGCAGGCTTGTGTATAAATCCGACCTTTTTTTTACATATACACTCGGGTAGTATTAGTAGTAGCAGCAGCAGTAGTATAATAATAATAATAATAATAATAATAATAATAATAATAATAATAATAAGGAGATAGGACCTGTTACAATTCTATGGGACTACACAATACACACTGACGGAACAATCAAGGCCAATCGGCCAGACATTGTTATTAAAGACCACAAACAAAAACGGTGCCTCCAATGTATCTTTGAAGATATTCAAAAAGTTGTCAAAATACAAGGACCTTGAAATAGAAATCTCGAAAATGTGGCATATGGGAACATCAACAATCCCTGTTGTAGTTGGAGCCCTAGGACTGGTTGGAAAAGATTGCAGTAGACTAATTGAAGGGATTCCTGGAAGTCCATGCCTCAAGGAGATACAAAAAATTGTTCTGACAAGTACAGCCCACACCTTACGAAGGGATTTATCTATGTAATTTAATTTTTTTTTTTCTAACCTTAGGTCCCTGGGCGCGACCCGGAAAGAAATGTGTAAACGCCAGAAATCAAAGAAAATAATAATAATAATAATAATAATAATAATAATAATAATAATAATAAGAAGAAGAAGAAGAAGAAGAAGAAGAATATATTTCGGCATTAAATAGCCTAAGAAGGGCTTATATGTAGTAAAATTTACTAAAATTCAACTGGCACTTTTAATAAAATGAAGGAGGTGATGCCAGGACCCCCCCCCACACACACACACAAACGGTAATGAATATTATTATATTTCTTTTAATACTGATTGGCGTTCTGGCGAGATCTTGAAAATATTTGTATATGTATGCATATGCAGAACGACAACGTGTCCCAAATTCCGATGTATACTTGCCCTTTGACTTTTGCCTTCTCACCTTGGCATTTAATTGACACCCAACCCCATATTGTAAATGATTAGATTGATTTACTTTTTCAGGAAGCCATATTTGTCTTTTTCATAGAAACAACTCTAGACAAGACAAAGATTCTAGCGTCGTCGCCTTGACCAATGAAAAATCGTGACTCATCAGTGATTATCAATTTTAGCCAATCATTCACGCGCTGTAATTACTCCTCTGTAACTCTCTGTATCATTTTTTTCTATTTTGCTTTTGTTGTTGTTTTATGTGTGTGGGGTGTTAGTGTTGATTTTCGTCTGGCTTTTCTCTGTAAATTCCATTTCATTCGGCCGATTTCTTCCAGTTCTGTCACATACATTTATTCCGTTTTGCTCCCACATGTTCGTTTTCCATTTCTTTTGCTGTGCATTTTCTATTTCTAGGAAAACTTCAATTAAGTTTTCTCTCGTGATGCTTCGAATTCTGCCATGATCTAATCGAATGTTGTCCTTTTATAAGCATCCGAATATTGTTTATACCCGCACCAAACTCTAGACAAGGCTGACTGGGCAAAAAAAAAAAAATCAACATTTCTCATTTCTGTCATATATATATATATATATATTGCTGGTATTTTTTTTCCAAAAATGTATTGCTGGTAATATTATATAGACTACACTACCTGCAATTTCAAATCGGTTACTGTTATACAGGAATAAAGTGTCGCTGCCGACACTTGAGTTTGAACACAGATCGCCACTGAGCAAACACAGGGGATCCCATTATTGAATTAAGAAGACCACGTGACCATAGAGGAAACGCATATATGGGAAGTAGCGTGTGTCTAATTGATCGCCATTTCTAGTCTCTCCTCTATTACTATTCGGATCGCTATTTCTCATCTATCATTATACAGACCTCTATTATCTACTCTATTCACTGTACTATTTCTGTATTCAGATCACTATATGGATTACTATTCGAGCTAGTATTATCGAGCAAGTACTATTAGTGCGAGTGATATCCGAAGCCGTCCGACACTAGTATTGTTCAACGGCGTTACTATAGTTGTATCTGCGATTACAAAGTCTCTACTACAACGAGCATTACGAAAGTGACAACGAGTATTTGTTGGCATCACAAAAGTTACCCATCAAAATAAGGCTGAGGTCTATCGTCATTAATCAAGGGACTAGGTTTAATTGATTATTTACTAAATTGTGAGGTAGTCTGACACAGGGTTATATATTTATCAACGAGACTAGCATACAAAATTACTAAGGCCGGTAAAATACAGGCTTCTTCAAAAAATTGACATTATTTAAAATGGGAATATCTAACTACATGTCCCAGCGAAACTAAATTAAATTTAACCTAAATAAATTACTCATTTTTAACAATAAAAAATTTTCAACGGGATGAAGATTTTGCAACCGATTTCACAAATGTTCAATATGCGTACTATCTGTGACACGACATGCATCATGTTGCTAGTCCAGCTCCTGCTAAACACGCTGTAGCATGTCTTGCGTAACATTCAGGTCTCGGTGATTCTCTGCTTAGGTTCTTCAATTCTTGTAGGAATAGAGGGATATAGACCTGTCCTTTCACATAGCTCCATAGAAAGAAATCACAATTTCTCAAGTCATATCAATGTGGTGGCCATTTTAACAGCACATTGTCATTATCACTGGTACGCCTGATCTAACTTCCTGGAAAATTCTCATTGAGATAAGTTCGCACTAAAGCGCAGTAGAATGTTACGCAAGACATGCTACAACGTGTTTGGCAGGAACTGAACTACTGACTTGACGTGTGTTGTGTCAGAGGTGGGGCGCATGTTGGACATTTGCGAAGCTTTGTGAAATCGATTACAAAAATTTAGATCCTTTTGAATATCTTGTTCGGATCTTGATAAATAAATATTTTAATATTCAAAATGAAGCTTATTTAATTTCGTTTAGCTGGGATTTGTAATTTCTCAGATACTCATATTTTAAATGAGGCCATTTTGGTATTGGACCCCTTGGATTTATTTTAATTTGTTACTGTTTTTGTCTCCTTTTTCTCTGTCTCTGTGAGAGAGAGAGAGAGAGAGAGAGAGAGAGAGAGAGAGAGAGAAAGAGAGAGATGTGGAAAGAGAAGAAAAATATAAAAATAATAACAAAGATTCAAATCGAGTGCCATTTTCGTGATGGCAGCCGACACAGTCGGACAGATTTCCGTGCCAAGGAAAATGACAACCTGTGCTTCTAAATTTGAAGAGATCAGACGGCGACATTTTTTTTATTCAAACCCGCACCAAAGTTTCCATTTCCATTTTCGTGACGTTTGCGAAGAGCCGGTTATGAAAATAATCACCACAGGTTATGGAGATCAGATGTATAGTCCCTTTTCCAATTTAGTTGCCAAGGGCGTTACAAGGCGCCCAGTTAGTCTAAAAAAAAACAAAAAAAAAACACGACATTGTCTGTATCGAAAGACTTTAGACAAAAAAAAACACTTATTTTTGTTAAGTAAAAGGTTATTCTACAATAACACCGACATTTGGTCAACAACACCAGCATAGTCACAATATTTTGGGGAATTTCGCGCGTAAAGTCGAATCTAATTAATCTCCCATTATAAAAAAAAATCCACGAAAAACAAAATAAAAACCCCCTCATATTATAATTTAAATTAATTTTTCCACCAGAAGCATTCAGAAACTCCAATCTGTATTTACTTTTAAGCAGATGCGGTTTCTAAATATTAGCTGTTCGCTTTTTAACTCCGACAGTCCTTTGCCGTTCTAGATATGACGTTAAACTACACCCGGCAGCAAGGCCTCTTATCGGAAAATTAGAGGTTCTGAGCATCATGGAACCAACTCTTAAATACTGTTTCCAGGTTCACACTAACCAGGGATATTAGTACCTGTTAGCGTCGCAGCTATGAGTGAATAGTGATCGCTTCCCCCAAACATAAAATCAACACTACATTTTTGTAATGAAATTACCCGCAATACATTTTTGTTGTTAAACTATCAGCAATACATATATGTTTAGAAGAATATAACAAACTGGAAAGGTTTATTTGTGATGCGTTTCACCCGTTGGGATTGAATCGGACTGGGCTTTGATGGTGTTGTCACGTCTACGCATGCGCATGAAACGAGAGACGCTGGTAATTTCAAAATATTTTGAAAAAAATGTTTTTTTGAAAGAATACAGATGATTTCACCTAGACTGAAAAAAAATCTTTCAAATAAAGGTTTTAGTTTGAAACTCCGTGAAGGATACACTCATAGACGGAAACCTGAAGAAGATCGGTAGGCACAACGTCGAAACGTTGTGATACTAACAACTTCGATAAAAATATTCGTCTCACTGTAAATAATGTTAATAATGATGACACCTCCTCCCAGAAATTTGGACAGCTGGAGTTAAATTTTTAGATAGTTTCAACATGTTTTATTAAAGTTCTTGATTTTATTATAAAAACTACAATATTACGTTATTATTCTGATCAAACTGCTCTTAGTTTTAGGAACCTGGAATCTAAATAAAAATAATTGAAGCATGGGTAACAAAAAGGATTTAATAATGTTGAAAACCAGAAAATAACAAAGATATTGGATAAGGGAATGTCCATAGTTACATATGTATGAACCGGATGTAACAGCAAAATTGTTCATTTGCTAGATTAAGCTTTGAACCGTTGTATCTTAGAAATGATTAAAGTTATCTTACTGGAATACTCCGAAGTTTTTATAACACTATTGGACTCTACTTTGAGCAATAAGAAGGTATAATAACCCCTCAAGCTTAACAGAAGAATATATATATATATATATTATACCAGGATCATTTTCCGAATTATTCAAGATGATCTTCGCCCACTCTTACCTTCTAAATTTCTGTCCTGGAGTAAGGAGGTGCTTCACACGTTTCAAGTACGATTTCATTTTCAAGTCTTTTTTTCACTGCTCTTTGAACTATCATAGCTGAAACTCCCGCCTTACGTGTCAAACGTCTTATGCGTTGAGTTGGATCTTTTCTAACTGATATCTTTAGCAGTAAGTTGAAATGATGATCCCTCTCCCTGTTGTGATCTCCTGATTCAGTTTTCCTCTCTGCTGTTCCCTCTTTTTTAAACTTATTTACCGTTCCCTTGATGATTCTTGAACAGATTTTGAAGATGGAAGCCAGAGTATGAATGTTGGTACCATTACTGAAGGCCTGAATGACCTTTTTCCTCTCACTATTGCTCATTTGGGAAGAGAGTGGGTCTGACACAAAACGATTTTAACCTGTTGTCATTCTAGCTGAATATCTTAAAGGATTTTCAGTGATTCTTACAACAAATGGTGCCAAGATGGCTAAATGTTTTTTTTTTATCTGAAAACTCGGACAAAAAGAAATTCAATTAGTTTAATGATTTTTTAGATATTAAACATTTTGTGGGGTGAACAGTTTTGCTGTTACACCCAGTATATCTTCACTTTCCAGTATCAATAAAGTTCAAAAACGTCTTCGCGTCCTTGTTGGTGATGACTTATTTCCCACCCTACAACCCCTTTCCCACGAACGAAATTTCATAAGTCTCTCGCTGTTCTGTCGCGACATACATTAATTAGATGCACCAGTTCAGACCGTCACGGTTAAAACCCTCCATAACATTGTAGTGGACCACCAAAATTGCATTTGTATTCAAATGGCGAGATGTTAAGTTCCATTCGGGTAGCTTTTTCCTATGAGCCACTGCTTTGCGGAACCGATTCCCAAGAAGATGGGCGACAGACCCCTGAAGAAGACTGTGAGGCACAGCGTTCGAAACGTTGTGATGGTAATAACTTACCTGAAGACATTCATCTGACTGTAAATAATGTTAATAATAATGAAGCCTCGTCCCATAAATTCGGAGAGAAATTTCTTGTAAAATGTCTTGCAGAATTGGATCAAATTTGTCATATAATCTCCAGGATAGTCCTAAACTCTTGTCATCCGTACATAATATAATTTTCTATTTCAGATGACTGACACGAGCTCCTACACGAAAATGGTGGTGTTCATACAGACGTTCTCGATGTGTGACAGCGTCAATGAGAGTGAATAAACTTAATCCAATAAGTGGACTTTGTATTACTTGTTCTTCTATTGTTCTCATAACGTTCTGGTCCGGGGGTGACAAGACTTTGGGACCACCCCGTAGATTCTCCTCTCTACAATTTGGTGACCTATGACTTCATAAAAAGCAACTAAGTAAGCACGCATTTCCTTTTTTTTTATCAAGATCTTATCTCTAGCTCTACGGTATAATCCTTCAGTAAGCTAATACAGGTATCAGTCTATATGTCTGAGATGAGGTTTGTAACTATTTGCACTATCTACATTGTCCGGACTGTTAATCTTTATTGTCATAGTCACAGCGTTTCGGCCATTGTACACTCCGGCCTTCTTCAGGATCTTTTTAGATTTCTGAGATGAGGTATTGTAACTATTTACACGTCTTGCATTGTTCGAAATGTTCATCTCTATTGTCATATTCACGGCGTTTCGACCGTTGTACGCTCCGGGATTCTTCAGGATCTGTCTATATCTTTGAGATGCGGTATTGTAACTATTTACACTATCTGCATTGTTCGGGCTGTCCATCCTTATTGTCATATTCACGACGTTTCAGCCGATGTACGCAAAAAGATCCTTCTTCAGGACCGGTTTGTAGTTTCGGACTGTTCATCTTTATTATTATATTCATGTTATTTATCCCGACCTGGGTAAGACGATAAACTACATCCGCGTCCAGGGTAAGACGATAAACTACATTCAACAAGAAGACCTCTGATCAGGACGTTTTGAGGAGCGTGGAACCACCTCTTAATTGCTGGTGTTCCCAGGTCCACCCTGACACTGTTAGGGTCCCAACTATGGGAAAATAGTTAACCCCGAAACTGAGGTAAAAAGCATTATAAAAGTGTAAAAATAGATTTTAATAGTAGAAATACTTTCTAAAAAATTATTACCAGAAATAAATTTTTGAAGAAAAAAAACTATTACCAGCAATATATTAGGTTGGTGCAAAAAATAATGACGTAATAATGTCGTTTTTGACGTACTTTTCTACATCAAAAAACGACATTCTTACGTCATTATTTTGCACCAACCTAATATTTTTGAAAAGAAATATTACCAGCAATACGTTTTTGAAAATAATATTATCAGCTATACATTTTAAAGGAAAAAATATTAACAGAAATAGATTTTTGACAAAACAAAAATATTATCAGAAAAACAAAGTTCTCGGCATTAATTAACCCATTGAGGTTGATATTCCGTAAAACAAACCAAACCAAACCAATCATATTATTATTATATTCATGTCATTGTTGATTGAAGTAATCCAGTGATTGGGCCAAAGAGTTTTGAGTTCAATACCTGGCCACATTAGAGGTGAACAAATCTTAGAGAGTTCAGTTACTAAAGGGATATAACTGGAACAGAGATATCCATAAAATTCATGGCACGTGAAACGAGAACAATCTACCCCGGTGGAGGAAATAAAAGGTTCGGTTCGAAACTCCTACGTATATCACCTGAAGAAGACCAGGGCGTACAACGGTTGAAACGTCGGTAATATGACAATGAAGATGAAGACAACAATCCCAGTAAAGTAAATAGTGTAAAAATTGTAATACAATTGTAAGCTTAACTCAACACCACTGAAAACACACACACACACACACACACACATATATATATATATATATATATATATATATATATAGAGAGAGAGAGAGAGAGAAAGAGTGAGAGATAGAGAGACAGAGAGAGTAATGAAAATTGTATATGATTGGCTACGGGGATACTTAACTGGAGATCTGGCATCGACGCCTGAGGCCGTAGACAGACTTGTCACTTTTCGGTTCATAGAGATGCATTGGATCGATATTTGGGTCGTTTGTCTTTCATTCTGTTCGAAATTTTATTGAGTTTTATTCGTCAAGCTGTTATCTTATTTATAACAGTTGTTGCGTAATTTAATACACTTCAGACATTAGGAGTTCTTTCAGGAAATTACTGAGATATCTTTTTATATGCGAACTTGATTTCTATTTTACTCCATCTTGACTCTAGGATAACGTTTATCTATATATATATATATATATATATATATATATATATATATATATATACTATACTATACTATACTATACACTGTTAAATTAGAATATGTAAGCATCCACTACAAAATTGTATATTTTGTTTCAACGTTTAAAATAAAACGTCTCATCGGTTGGTTAAATATATGATAAATATTTATTGCTCTACTTTTGTATTAAACCCGGTTTTAATTTAATTTTTGAACGTTGCAATTTTATTCTTCGTTTGTTTTACATATATATATATATATATATATATATATATATATATATATATGATATGTGCCGGAGAGGGATATATTTGATCGAAGTAGCTAAGTGGTTTAGGCTACTGTAACCAAGTAGAACAATCTACCAGGTAGCAGTAATGGGATTGGTACTCGTCGTAGTCGCAGTCAATAGGTGTAGGCAATAGGCGTAGACCAATAAGATAGCCAATGGCGTAGTCCAATGGGCGTCGTCTCGTACCTCTACATCAGCCCGCATCTAAATCGGAAGTGATATTGTTGTTGACCTTGGTAAAGTTTGGTTTGCTGCTCTAATAAAATTCGGAGGGGTCTCTTCGGCAGGCAATCACGTGGGATGTATCACGACCAGTGGCTGGGACGAACTTTCTTCCGTCTCTCTCTAATCTCTGTCTACATTTCGTCTGAAGAATTCGCTTCGCGCATTCGTATTTATGGACATTCGCTCAAACTGATTCTAGGCACGGCGTATAGTGGGATTTCGGTAAATCCCCTTTGTTGTCAGCTTACTTCATAATTGTAAGGAATTCCCTTCTTTCACTCTCTCACTAAATCTTCTCAGTGAGTGTGGGTATCTTTCGATCAGGAGAAATCAACTATAAATTCGTTGTTTACAATAATAAAATTTCCGCTTTACAGCTTGCATTTTCAGCTGCGTAGAACACATTTCAGCCATTATTGCCCTCTAAATCTGGGTCATTTTCCATTGTTCAAACCTTCGACACACCAATTCTATGTGTAGCCTATATGTGATTTAAATTGTCAATCCTTCCCACGGATTTTATGTATTAACCCTCCTTGTTCCAAAGTCTTTCAGTATATCGCTCTTTCTATCCATAGAAAATTTTCCTATGTTTTACCGCTGTAACAACAAACAGTATCACAATAATAGTTAATGATTCCCTTTTTTTAACCAATGAGGTTCATTCCTGCTAAATACCAAACTACTCTTACTTGAGGAACTTCGTATATCAAAAGATAAAATGTTGTCTTCTAGTCGCCCTCACAGGAACAGGGTAATAAACTGTCTCTGTGTAGTCGGGTCTAGCATTCCTCTTTCTTCTTCTACCAGTACACAAGCATGGGATCAAGAGTGGTCAACTCTATTCATCACTTTTCTTAAATTCATTTTAGGTAACAAAATCCTTGGACTTTCTTCCACGAAATTCTTTTTTTTCAATTTACCACAGCACTGTCTTTCACTCTGATGTTGTAAATGAAACAGCTGACATAAACATACTAGTTTAGTTATTCTATTTGCATTGTTACCTGTTTTGTTACACTTTTTTTTATCTAACTTAAATGTATTCTTAATATTGTTAGAGGTGTACAATTTCTGTATAAAGGCGTCACATTTTCTAAATCCTTTTTAATATGAGTTAACATAGACAGAGAATTATAACTGCCCACAGAAACATCGATAACCTAATTTTTAAATATTTGATATGCGTTTTTATCTGATTAATTTACAATCTTGAGTGATATTTTAGATGTCATAACTTGAAAAATGTAAATTTTATACTTTTTCTGATCATTTCTAATATTACGGATTCCGGGAAAAGAAGAAAACTTGATGCTGCATCAGGGCTTCGATGTATTTGCATACTTCATAAGAATGACTTTACATGGGAAAATTTTATATATATAAAATTTCAAACACACACACACACACATATATATATATATATATATATATATATATATATATATAATCCAATTAATTAATCGAGTTTAGTAGAATTTTCAACAGAATGCACTAGACAGCAGTTACCTCCTACTTGGGATTACATCAGCAGGATGCATTCATTACCGAGAATCGAATTCGGACAATTACGATACGGCGCAAGCGACCATACCAACTGTACCAACGAGCCTCAGTGGCGAAGAGGTGATAAACTAAAATCGATATAGCTCTGCTCTCACTTTCCGGAGTGTAACTCATCCGAGAATACTTTTCCCATAATTTCAGTGTTTTTTATATATATATATATATGTGTGTGTGTGTGTGTGTGTGTGTGTGTGTGAAGAAATGTAGTTTTAGGGTGTGCTGTATTTATGGGATAAAGTGCTCAATACCAAATTATCTAGATTATATATATATATATATATATATATATATATATATATATATATATTAAAATTATTTTTAAAAAATATGATTCCTTCGCTACATATGAGTTCTCATGTTTCAAAAACGAGAGCCGAAAACCTCAATATAATTATTAAAATTAAATTGAGTTAAAGTAACAAGCCCTGTTTCATTCTCAAGCGAAAATTTAAGAAGAACCAATCTGGAAATTTACGCATATTCATTCGCAAAATTAATTATGAATGCAATCATTCACATTAAAATGGATACCCCGACCTTACATCGGCTTGATCTCTTTCGGAAGGTGACTGATATATGGATAAAAATTAACTCTTAGGACCTTTATCAAAATGTCGCCCCAAACGTTTCTATAGTAATTAATTTTGCGATTTTAGACGTTATGATTCTACAGAAGCATGCTAAGGATACCATGAACTGAATATGTAAGCAACGATGTTTTGGAGAGGGTGCAAACAAGGAGGACGCTTATACTTAACAGCAAGAAAAAGCAGCTGAAATGTCTCTGACACGTAATGAGAAAGGAAGGCTTGGAGAATCTAATTCTCTCAGTGCGGATAGAGAGAAAGGGCGACAGGGGAATAAAACGCGTGACATAAATAGCGGGCTTAAGCAAGTGGAACAGGGTTTTGGAGAAGTAAGGATAAAACATTGAGAACTAGAAGGGATAGGAGGAAGTGGAGAGCCATGATCACCTACGTCCTGAAGGAACACGGCATATAAAAGAAGACTTATCGCATTTACAGGGACAACCATTTGCAAATCCAAATTATCGTAATGAAAACCTTTAGTCAAAATTAGAAACATGTATAAAATATAATCACAAATTTGTGTTCTGCCTCATAATAGCATTTCTGGTGTTTAGCAGCCAAATAGACATTACTACTGCAGTAAGGACAGGTTATCATTTGGCCCAAATGAAAAATATTGCTGGTTTGCTAAAAGATGAATTCATCGAAATATTTATGACTAGCGATGATACAAAATGGCCGCTAACAACTAGTAATTTATACAATGACCCAATTAAGCGATTGAAATTGAAGACTATCAGAAATAAGTAAGTCAATGACAGTTACATCATCATCTAAAAAGGAAATAGTATACAAACAGCAAGGAAATATCGAATTTAACCTTTTAGTCTTATCGCAAAAAAATACATAATAAATTAGACTTGTAAAAAAGTTCATGGCCTACCCACTTGTTCCTGTGCCCAACAGCATACGGCTTCCAGACAATTTTCTAACCAAAATTGACAAATCAAATGGGGTTCAATATATCGTTAAGGATATTAACGATGGAATGCTTCCAGAAAATTCAGAATGTTGCTTCGTAACCCTGGATGGAAATGTAATCTTTCATTGTCTGAAAGAGATCCTACAAACTTTTGAGGAACTCTTAGAAGTTATTTTAAAAATGACATTACAAAAGTGTCCTGTAATATTTAACAGTGCCATGTACAAAAATTCTCAAGGATTTAAACGAAGAAGGAGGCGGGGGTAAGGAAAAACTCATTGTTGGGGGACGGAAAACGAGGTGTCTAAGAGACTGAAAGAACTTTTTTTTCTAATGATGCGAATAAGAAGCAACTTGTGCAGTACATCATTCCCCCCACCCCCAAATCTGGAGGATCATGAACTGATTCTGATTTGTGAGGGCAGAGCTTATCATTTATTACTGTATACGATCTGGGATTGCAAAGGAAATATTTGTCGCAAATTACTACCACAACGCAGAGAATAAATCACTGTAAGTTCAGACTCGAATATCGGGGACAGAAAGAAATGCCGAAAACTCGATTCGCAGGTACTACCTCACAAATCCGAATGCACGTAACCAGTCAGAAAAATAACTCACTCTCCGACGAACGCGGTAGCCAAAATACACGGATTTTATTTTCTATTTTGCTTTTATCGGTTTAGCATTTTTTTTTATTCGTCGACAACTGGGAGAGGACGCTCAATTTTTGCATATCAAGATACTTTTATAGTGACTCCTGTGATTGACTTGTTTCTAAGTTAAATACTCCGTCTTCAGCATGTCACGCGGTATACGTGCCCTTTTTTTTTTTTTTTTTTTTTTTTTTTTGGTAAATAATTTTCTTCGCCTCATTTTCCGTTGCAGGATACACGCGACACGCTGACGTTTGGTTCGACGAGGTAAGTCACCGTTTTCTTCTCAGACCGGACATCAACAATCCGCCAAGAGTTTGTTTCACTATTCTCTACGCAGGGGGTGGGGGGATAAACCGACTCAAAGATACTATTATATTGTTTTTATGCAAAAGGAAAAGGGATTCAAATTTGTTAGATTCAGACGTCCTGACTGAAGTCCTTTTCCTTATTCAGCTTTCCTATGCACATAAACTGCACGGACTTGAAATGTTATCCGAAACAGGAACGGGAAACAAAGAAGCGTTGCGTCATCAACACAAAACTTTTGCAATAATCTACTAAGCCTTTATATCTTCACTGGTTGTGACAGTAGGAGGCACAGTGTAGTAATAGATAGCGGCTCGGATTGAGGAATCAGAGAGCCGAGTTCGAATTCTAATCGAATCCATTACATTTCACTTACGTGCTAATACCCTTGGGAAAGGTATGAATCTTCCTCTTCTCCCCACTGGCTATGTGTAGGTAGCAGGACAGACCGGGTTCTATAGTCTTGGATGGCAACTGGTCTACTGCAGAAAGAAATGGCAACCTACTGCAGGAAAAAACCTACCTCGTCAGTCATGTATCACGCATGGCAAACAACCGACTGAGTGGCTTTTAAGGGAAAAGGAAAGTTGAAGGCAATAAAAATTGTTGAAAAAAAAAAGCAAGCCCTTCCAGGAGGTGTTCGTGACATTAGCAGATTCATGAGCAATGCATGAAAACATTTTAAGTTACATTGAGGAATTTACCTGTGTTTTGTATGGGAATAAACGGTTTAAAAGTGTCAATTATCTGAGATTCTTCATGTTGCCATCAAAATAGGGTAAGGAAGATGGAACTCTTATTGTATCAGGGAACTTTGACCTTAGCGCATTACCACCTTGCACAGTATTTATCGATCCACCCACGAGGATAGAATGTGGCACAAGGCCGGTTTAATGTGGGTATCCCCGAGCCCGTAGGCTCGGCCAAAACTATAGCCTTTTTTGAACCCGCCTTGACGGATTCAGGCCCTGTCTACCTCCCGAACGAAACCTTGCCCTTCGGCAAAGCTTCGTCCGGGTTCCTCTCTGCTAATGCAGAGAGTTCGACAGACGCTGACTCGGAAGCTCACAAAGGCAGCGTACTACACTTTGGTCCTAGCCTCCAGGCCGAGCCGCACTGATACACTTCGGCAATATTTTAATGGATTCATGGTAAAAATGATGAAAAGATACCGTATTGTACTAGTGAAGACATTATGCCGGTTGAGCTTGTCGATGTTCTTGAAAAGTGTAATTGTGAATCTGACAATGATAATGGATATTTAAATTGCAACCATGGATGTATATTTCTCAGAAAATCATAATTAATGCATACCATTTTTCAAAAACAAAGTTAGGAATTCAACATTAAATCTAATTATAATCGGCCAAGCATATAAGGCTCACAATGAATCTTTTATTTATTATAGACATTATATATACTATAATATAATTGACGTTTATTCTCTAATTATATTATCTTTTACCTTGATAATTTATCCTTGAATTTAATTTCCTGGGTTTGTGGCATTTCAAATTGTGATTTTTTTTTACAGTATTATTATTTTACATTTACCAATCTGAAGAAATCTTCAATTATCTAATTTGTTACCCGTGATAAAAATGTGTATATATATATATATATATATATATATATATATATATATGCGTGCGTGTGTGTATGTATAAATATATTAATATATTAGTAGTCAATATATATATATATATATATATATATATATATATTCAAGAGGATAGAAATATAATATAAAAGGTTCAAACACTAATATTCCATGGTTATCATTTATTACATTGGAATCGTAATCACGATTCAATTCATCAGACCTACAAATTCAAATTTTTGAATTTGTAGATCTGATAAATTGGATCGTGAATATATATATATATATATATATATATATATATATAACAATGGCTTCCTATACTTAATACTTCTCGTTTTCACTCTCGCGTGGTCATGTTTGACGGCATGAGCTCCTGTGCGATTTTCGTTTTCATCTATCCGAGTCTATTCATATCTATCTATCTATCTATCTATCTATCCGAGTCTATTCATTATCTATCTATCTATCTATCTATCTAGTACTCCTCATTATGACCAAACATCCAATTTACCTATTCACTTAATCTAAAGTTATTATGTAAATCACATCTACCTCATTAACACGTATTTGCTTTGAACAATTTTTCTCAAATTTGAAACAATTAATTTACACGTCAAAAGAAAGCTTTTTATGTAGTTTCAACATTTTTTATTCAGGTTATTGGATTTATTATAAAAACTGCAGTCTGAAATCAAATAAAAACTGAGATCAATATTTTTCTTCTTTTTTTTCCATAATATATTTTGAAACCTGGTTTATAGAAAGGATCGAGCTGTTGTGGGGTTATTTCGCAGTGGAGGCTTGTATTTGTACTAAGTCGGTCTTAAAATAGGTTCGACGTACAAAACGTTAGGAACTTGATGTAATAGGTATTACGCAGAGTAATCTTGTTGTGGTCGCTGACTACTTTCGTATTCGACTAACTGTCGACTACTGTCGTCCGACATCGACGCTATTTAGTAACTGCTCCACGCAGTCACATCTGGCACAAGGCCGAATTTAAAGTGGGGTTCCCGAGCCCGGAGGCTTGGCCAAAAAATCCCCGTAGACCCCGCATAAACGGGATCGTGTCTATCTACCTCCCCGGACAAAACTCTGCCCTTCGGCATAGCCTCGTCCGTGTTCCTCTCTGCCCGAAGGCAGAGAGTTCGACTGTCGTCCGACATCGACTGACCTTCGTTTCTCTTACTACTTCTACTTATATTAGGTGGGAGAGTCTATTAACTATAGAATAGGTGTGTTTCACCATAACACCCCCTCATAAAACTTTACTCCGTAGGAGTAACACAGTTTTATTTATTTATTTTTTACAGGAAATATGAAGAAAAAACAACAAAAAAATCTCCTACGTTTTGGATCCACTTTTAAATGATCAGTTGCCTTTCTTTTTCTCCTGGATCGGCGTACCTCAGGTAAAATCGTTGCAGGCGTCGTTAAATCAAACGTATCGACAATCACCTCCATCGGCGTTTCCTTGCCGAGATCACTGTCAACCACGTCTGATCTGGTTAATGTGCCTTCTGCACGTGAATTTTTCGCCTTTCACCAAGTACATCATATTGCCAATGCGCTTTTCTATTTTTTGGTACCTCCATAGTTTTACCAGAAACAACCTTCCACTTTGAGCTTCTTAAGGATGGAGTCACAGTTTCTGTAGGTTCTTCTTGTGGTTCTATTTGTTCAGCCTCTAGCTTCCCTTTTGCTGATCTTGTGCTTCTTGACGCTTTCTGTGGTGACTTCAGTTGACTTAAATCATTTAATAATACTGCATGTCCTTAGCTACGGTAGTATATTCGTCGTACAATTTATTCATCTTTTGTATTTACCAGTAACAAATAGTGTCACAAGATGATTGAAAAGTAACTCTTTATTTTCATTTTGTTTCAACACCTCTGGTGTCTTATCAAGTGATGATGTTGAATGTAGAATCTACTGCTGAATTTGTGTTTCACTACCTGATCTAAAGATTGAACTCGTGGCTGCTAGGTGACAGTAACACGTGAACAAGAGATTGAAAAGTAACTCCTTATTTTATGTCTATTGAACTTTCCTCCGTTTTGTAGTTAAACGGGAGAGTCCAATATACATAAAATAAAGAGTTACTTTTCAATCACCTTGTGACACTATTTGTTACTGGTAAATACGGAAGATGAATAAATTGTACGACGAATATACTACCTTATGATCAAAGCAAATCACAACGTGGGATAAGGCTAGCCCTGGATTGAATCGATCACCTATTTTATCAGCCGTGGGTGTTGGACATTTTGGACGATCAGTGTGGGGGCTTGAGTGCGACAACCCTGTGTAATCAACTGTTATATCCAATACGCCACCCGAGATGAAACACTACATGATTTTTTTACCTTGCTCCCGACTGCGCAGGCACACACGAGAATGTATTAGAAATAAGCTTTACTCGCAGACCAGTTAGGCTACATTAATCTTCGTAAATATTGAAAGAAATAGAAAACTCCCTTAGAAACAAAGAAAATGTACTGAGCTCTCGTGTGATATCTGTCCTCCTCTATGGCTGTGAATGCTGGGCAATCTCCTCAGAGATAGAGAAGAGACTATAGGCAACAGAAATGTGGCTCTACATAACACCGACCGAATATGTGAGCAACGACGAAGTTTTAGAGGAACAAAAAGAAACCTGTGCTTAATATCAGGAAGAGTCAGTTGAAATTTCGAGGGTACATAATGAGGAAACAGGGCTTAGAAAATCTGATACTCACAGGGTAGACGGAAGGTAAGAAGGAGGGGGGAAAACAAGGCATTACATACATAGTAAGTTTAAGTAAATTTAAATGGATAACGGAACAAGTTTTAGGAGAGATAACAAAGACATGGCGTTTATTAAAAACTACAAAGGACAGGAAATTGTGGAGAGCCGTGATCGTCAACATCCTGATGGGACACGACGCATAAAGAAGTGCAACTTGAAACTTAACATATTCGTCTTGTTTATCAGATTGCGATGCAGAGAGTTGGTTCCTTAAATAGGATTCCCACTTCTCTGGCCTTATGCCAGACTAGAAGCGTCGCCAGCAAACACGGCCACGATTATTTTTCTGTTTTTATCTGAAGTTTTCAGGCGACATAATTGCTATTTATTGAATTTTTAAGCAATTTAGCGATTCAAAATGTTACGATAAAAAGCCACATCAACATGTAGGACAAATGGTAATAAAAATCTTAATACTTTATAATACAAAATTATGTTCAATTAATTTCCTCTGCTGCATTCATTTCTTCTTTTCTTTGTACATCAGTCTTTCCTCTTTCTTTTCTCCCCTTCCTTGTATATCACCCTTTCCGCTCTCGTTTCTCCTCTTCTTTGTACATCACTCTCTCTCTCTCTTTTCTTCCCTTCCTTGTACATCATTCTTTCCTCTCTCTCTCTCTCTCTCTTCTCTGCCATTCATTGTACGTAACTCTTTCTTCTCCTCGTTTCCGCTTCCTTGTACAACACTCTTCCCTCTCTCTCTCTCTCTCTTCTCCCCTTTCTTTACAACAATCTTTCCTCTCTCTCTCTCTCTCTCTCTATCTCTCTCTTTTCTTCCCTTCCTTGTACACCATTCTTTCCTCTCTCTCTCTTTTCTGCCCTTCATTGTACGTAACTCTTTCTTCTCCTCGTTTCCGCTTCCTTGTACAACACTCTTCCCTCTCTCTCTCTCTCTCTTTTTCCCCTTTCATTACAACACTCTTTCCTCTCTCTCTATCTCTCTCTCTTTTCTTCCCTTCCTTGTACATCATTCTTTCCTCTCTCTCTCTCTCTTCTCTGCCCTTCATTGTACGTAACTCTTTCTTCTCCTCGTTTCCGTTTCCTTGTACAACACTCTTCCCTCTCTCTCTCTCTCTCTTTTCCCCTTTCATTACAACACTCTTTCCTCTCTCTCTATCTCTCTCTCTTTTCTTCCCTTCCTTGTACATCATTCTTTCCCCTCTCTCTCTTTTTTGCCCTTCATTGTACGTAACTCTTTCTTCTCGTTTCCGCTTCCTTGTACAAAACTCTTTTCTCTCTCTCTCTCTCTCTCTTTTCTTTTCTTCCTTGTACATCACTCTTTCCGCCCTCTTTTCTCCCCTTCCTTGCACGTCACTCCTTTCTTTTCTTTTCTCCCCTTTCTTGAACGTCACTCTTTCCTTTCTTTTCTACCCTTCCTTGCACGTCACACTTCCCTCTCCCTCTCTCTCTCTCTTTCTCTCTCTTTATGCCCCTCCTTTGAACGTCACTTTTTTCTTTCTTTTCTACCCTTCCTTGCACGTCACCCTTCCCTCCCTCTCTCTCTCTCTTTACTCCCCTTCTTTGAACGTCACTCCTTTCTTTTCTACTCTTCCTTTTACGTTACTCTTCCCTCTCTCTCTCTCTCTCTCTTTTCTCCCCTTTCTTGTACAACATTCTTTCCTCTCTCTCTCTCTCTCTCTCTCTCTTTTCTTTCCTTCCTTGTACATCACTCTTTCCGTCCTCTTTTCTACCCTTCCTTGTACATCACTCTTTCCGTCCTCTTTTCTACCCTTCCTTGTACATCACTCCTCCCCCACTCTCTCTTTTCTCCCCTTCCTTGAACGTCACTTTTTCCTTTCTTTCCTCCCCTTCCTTGAACGCCACTCTTTCCTTTCTTTTCTACCCTTCCTTGTAAGTCACACTTCCCTCTCTCTCTCTTTAATCCCCTTCCTTGAACGTCACATTTTTCTTTCTTTCCTACCCTTCCTTGTACGTTACTCTTTCCTCTCTCTATTTTTCCCCTTCCTTGTACATTACTTTTTCCTTTCTTTTCCCCTTCCTTGTAAATCACTTTTCTCTCTCTCTTTTCTCCTCTTCCCACTGCTACACTCTTGTGTCTAATGCACAATTTTTACTATTTTCTCTATCCTCCTAACCTTTCTTCCACATTCCCTCTTTCCCTAGCCTCATTCTTTCCTCTGTTTCCCATTCCTCTCCCTATTCTCATTTCCCCCTCCTTCTTCTCCTCCTCCTTCGTTTTCCTTCTCTCCCTTCTTCTTCTTCTTCTGTCTCCTCCTCCTTCTTCTCATCATATTTCTTCTTCTTCTTCTTCTTCTTCTTCTTCTTCTTCCGATTCTCCTCTTTTTTCTTCCTCACACTTTTCTTCTTTTCTGCTTCCTTTAGCTGTTTTTCTTTTTCCTCTCCCTCGCTATTTTCCTCTTGCTCTTCCTCTTTTCCCCCTCCCTCATTCTTCTTCTTCTTCTTCTTCTTCTTCTTCTTCTTCTCATTATTATTATTATTCCGGTTCCTCTCTTTCTTCTTCCCCACTCTTTTCTTCTCCTTCCCTTCTTTCCCATCATCTTTTTTCGTCTTCTTTACTATTTTCTCCTCTTTGAAATGCCACACTCTTATCTCTTCTCACCCAAACTCACTCTATTCTGCTATATGTAGCACTCTCTTCCCTTCTTTCTCCTCCGCCAAGCTCTTCTCCACTTCCTCCTTTCCTCTTACCCCGCCCCATAGACCTCATTCTTTTCTCCCTTTTCCTTTGCTTCAAAATTTACCTCCTCCTCCCATTACTATCATTTACGTTCCGTCTTTGAATAGTTCTAATGATTCAATGATTATTCTAATGGGACAAAACAGTCGGAGACTCTGGCCGGAACATAGACATTAACCAAATCAATAGGCTTCGGACGCTGAGTTGGACATAGCTAGACGCCACCCGACCTCTCAGCCTCACTCATCCAATGAATGGCTGTCTTCTCAGATCCCAGGGTACAGTATATCATCTATCATGTTGAAAAATCACCGATACTCGACACAATTTTAAACTGAGCTCTTCAGAAGAAAAGGCGATAAAGGTAAAGATGCTATATTAGTTAAGTTTGTCATCATGGCTGTTAGATTGAACTCTTAGTAGCAAAATGGGGGACATTTGAAATCAAACTGTTATATAGGAATAAAGTGTCGCTGCCGACAATTGAGTTTGAACACAGATCGCCAGTGAGCAAACACAGGCGATCCCATTATTGAATTGAGTAGACCACGTGACCATAGAGGAAGCGCATATATGGGAGGTAGCGTGTCTAATTGATCGTTATTTCTAGTCTATCCTCTATTACTATACGGACCGCTTTTATCTACTCTATTCACTATACTATTTCTCTACTCGGATCACTATTCGGATTACTATTCGAGCGAGTATTATCGATCAAGTACTATTAGTGAGGGTAATATTCGAAGGCGTCTGACACCAGTATTGTTCAACGGTGTACTATAGTTGTAACTGCGATTACAAAGTCTCTACTACAACGACCATTACCAAAGTGACAACGAGTGTCCGTTGGCATTACAAAAGTGGCAGTGGGTGTTCGTTGACATCACAAAACAAAAATTAGCATCTGTACCAAGAAATAGAACTCCAGATAAAACTTTGCGAAACAGAAACTATGATCTGGAATTGGAATGGAAGATATTCTAATATATTGTGTTGTTCTACGACACATGATCAGTAGTCAACGTCTGGCCTCTCTCTTAGTTTACTACACACTTTATATCGCTTATACTTAACATATGCAAAAAGGTACAATACTGTTTACCAATCCACTTTCCTTCCTGAAGCATACAACGGCCGAAACGATGTGATAAATATGGCGACAAAGATGAGGACAATAGTCGGAATAATAGTGTACAGAAAATCCAGTTTTCCTGTTTCAAAGGGGAGAAGGTTGAACTCACTGACTCTCCGCGTTCTGGCCGACCAGTTCAGTTTGATGAGAACCAATTGCACATGCTGATTACCGTAGGGAATTGGCTCTGAAGATGGCAAGATCTCATGTTACTGTTGCTCGTCATCTTCACTCAGTGGGTAAGGTCCAGAAACACGGCGCATGGCTACCACACGCATTGACCGAGTGAAACAAAATCCAGTGTTCCTCCACTGCCGTCAAGTTTACTTGCTTGATACCAGGCTACTTGCGGATACAAAGAAAGCGCTCGGTTTGGAAATCCTGCCACACTCGCCATATCCTTCTGAATTAGCCCCTTCATATTACCATCTTTTTAGGTTTGCTTTCTGACAATTTGAAGGGTGTTTCGTTCAACAACGATGTGGAGCTGAAAACATGGCTTGATGAATTTTTCGAGTCAAAACCTAGTGATTTCTATCGTCGAGGCATTGAACAGTTAATGGGTTGTTGGCAGGAGGTCGTAAACAATAAGGGGAGAATATATTGTTGAATCATTCATCAGAACTATTATTAAATAAGTATTAAAATAAATGATAAAAAAAACGAAAGTAACAACATAATGGTTACCTTACTCTTTCGTTTTCTTTCTTGCAAGTTCATACAATAGAATATTTTTATTCGCTTGTCATAGATTGCGAACTAACAGAACTTATTTCACAACATTCATTCTCCTTTAATCCCAACCTACCTTTTTATTCGAAACTACTCTTCTATTGTAAACAGCTCTTTTATTCTAAACTGTCCTTTTAAACCAACCTACCTTTTTATTCGTACCTGTATTTTTATTCAAGCCTACTGTTCTATTCCAACGTCCAATTTTAATCTAAACTGTCCGTTTATTCGAACCTACTCTTTTATTCCAACATACATTTTTTGACATCTCTTAACTCTCTCTTTGTCCTCTCTCCTTTACTCACTCTCTCTCTCTTCTCTCTATCTTTTAACTCTCTCTTTTTCCACTCTCCTTTAACACTATATTTTGTCTATCTCTCTTAAATCTTTCTTTGTTCACACTTTTTTAATACCCTCTGAATCTTTCCTCTATCTCTCTCTTTTAACTTTGACTTTTAACTCTCCCTTTGTCCACCCTCTTTTAATACTCATTCTTTCTCTCTCTTTTAACTCTCTCTTTTAACTCTCCCTTTGTCCACCCTCTTTTAACACTCATTCTTTCTCTCTCTATTAACTCTCCCTCTGTCCACCCTCTTTTAACACTCATTCTTTCTCTCTCTTTTAACTCTCTCTTTTAACTCTCCCTTTGTCCACCCTCTTTTAATACTCATTCTTTCTCTCTCTTTTAACACTCTCTTTGTCCACCCTCTTTTAACACTCATTCTTTCTCTCTCTTTTAACTCTCTCTATTAACTCTCCCTCTGACCACCCTCTTTTAACACTCATTCTTTCTCTCTCTTTTAACTCTCTCTATTAACTCTCCCTTTGTCCACCCTTTTTTAACACTCATTCTTTCTCTCTCTTTTAACTCTCTCTTTTAACTCTCTCTTTTAACTCTCCCTTTGTCCACCCTCTTTTAACACTGATTCTTTCTCTCTCTTTTAACTCTCTCTATTAACTCTCCCTCTGACCACCCTCTTTTAACACTCATTCTTTCTCTCTATTTTAACTCTCTCTATTAACTCTCCCTCTGACCACCCTCTTTTAACACTCATTCTTTCTCTCTCTTTTAACTCTCTTTTTTAACTATCCCTTTGTCCACCCTCTTTTAACCTCATTCTTTTTTCTCTCTTTTACTCTCTCTATTAACTCTCCCTTTGTCCACCCTCTTTTAACACTCATTCTTTCTCTCTCTATTAACTCTCCCTCTGTCCACCCTCTTTTAACACTCATTCTTTCTCTCTCTTTTAACTCTCTTTTTTAACTATCCCTTTGCCCACCCTCTTTTAACACTCATTTATTCTCTCTCTTTTAACTCTCCCTTCGTCCACCCTCTTTTAACACTCATTCTTTCTCTCTCTTTTAACTCTCTCTATTAACTCTCCCTCTGTCCACCCTCTTTTAATACTCATTCTTTCTGTCCCTTTTAACTCTCTCTATTAACATTAGTCGGACTATTGTCCTCATCTTTGTCGCCATATTTGTCACAACGTTTCGGCCGTTGTACGCTCCGGCCTTCTTCATATGGTTGGAATTTCGAACTAAACCCTTTATTTAGATCACTTTACTCTCTCCACTGTTTGTAACACAATTTTTGCCCTCTCTCTTTTTTCTCTCTGTCTTTTCACTCTCTTAACACTCTATTTTTACTCTCTCTCTCTCTTTTAACTCTCACTTTGTCCACTCTCTTTTAATACTCTCTCTCTCGTAACTCTGAATTTGTACTCTCTTAACTTCCTCTTATTACCTCTATTTTCCCTCTCTCTTTTTTCTTTTCTCTCTGTTTTTCTCGGCACTTTTAACTCACAATTTGTCCTCCCTTAACTCTCCTTTTCCTATTTTAACCCTCACCTTGTCTTCTCTTTTTCTTTCTGATTTTCTCTCTCTTTTAAGTTTTCCCCCGCTCTTTACCTCTCTCCTTTTCCTCTCATTCTTGTCTCTCTTTCAAATCTTTTTTGCACCTCTCTTTTTCTCTGTTAACCCTGTCTTTGTCCTCTCTCTCGTTTACATCTCTCTTTGTCCTCTCTCTTTAACTATCTCTTTATCTTCTTCTTTTCTTTCTTTTTCTCCTCTCTCTCTCTCTCTTTGTTTTCTCCCTCTTTCTCTCTCTTTGCTGTCTCCCTTTTTCCGCTCTCGTTTAACTCTATCCTTGTCCACTCTCTTTTTTCTCTCTCTTTTAACACTCTCTTTGTCCTCTCCCTTTTAATACACACTTTTAACTCTCTCTTTGTCCTATCTCTCTCTCCTTTTCTCTCTGCTCTCTCGTTGTCTTCTCTTTCTCTTTTTCCTCTCATTTTTCTCTCTTTCAAATCTGAGTTGAATCTTTTCTAATCTCTCTCTCTCTCTCTCTCTCTCTCTCTCTCTCTCTCTCTCTGCGTGTTCAATTATCTTTTCTTTTATCCCCAGCATATAGTTTTCACGTTCTTCGGTGAATGGCCTACCAGACGGGATTTCATTCAGACATTTTGTTTTTTAAGCCAGAATTTTGAACATGTTAATTATCATGAAAAAAATAAAGCACACCAACCCGGATATTTCTTCTTCTCCCTCTTACTAATGCAATGCCCATTCTTATAACCAGCGAACTTACCTACCTATTTATTTATTTATTTATTTCGCGAAGGAATCGGCATCATTCTGCTGCGTTTTTGTATTTATTCTATCGAGACATTTTTTAAGGTTAGCACCAGTCTTGTCTTTTAATTTCCTGGCAATCTTTTCTAGTCATGAATATCTGTGTTCCACTTAGTCTAATTTGATATTTGCTACGCTCAAGTTTCTGTTATATATATATATATATATATATATATATATATATATATATATATATATATATATATATACCGATTGTAACTGCAATATTCTGCAAATCGTTTAAAAGCGAAATTGTCCATTTCTTAGATTAAGCTCTGAACCGTTGTATCTTAGAAATGATTAAAGATATCGTACTGGAATTCTCCGGGGTTTTTATAACACTATTGGACTCTGCTTTGATGTGTAATTACTCTCCAGGCTTAACAGAAGAATTGTAACACACACAAACACACAAACACACATACACTTATATATATATATATTAGATAAAATATAGTTTTATGTTGTACTGTATTTATGGGTGCTCAATATCAGGGTAGAGAGTATGTAATTACAAAAGTGGTATTGAATTTAGCACCCAGAGTCAACAGTCTGTTTCATGCTAAACGTAATGGCGTGACGATTGCGTTTAGCATAAAACAGACGGTTGACTTCAATGTCCACTGTCATATATATATATATATATATATATATATATATATATAGTCATGCACAGACAAACTGTTTCGCTGTATCACAGCTCATCAGTGTGACTAGACATCCGACCTGATTCTACCCGTAAGCTATCATCACACGGCAGAGAGTAAGGAAAATTTTAACGTTTTTACTCTACGAAAGACGTCAGTGGCTAGGAGAGCTCGATTCTAGTTGAAGAGCATTGCATTAACAAGAGCCACTGTTTATAAAACCACCCCTTGCTCTCTGAGAGTTCAATCGAATAATTTCGAGAGCATAAATAGTCATCAACAGACTGTTTCGCTGAATCCAGAGGTTATCAGTGTGGTTAGACATCCGATTTCTTCAAGCCGGGATCGGTCAGAAATTCTACCCGCAAGCTATCGTCACATGGCAGAGAGTAAGGGAAATTTTAACGTTTTTACTGTACGAAGAACGTCAGTGGCTAGGAGAACTTGATTCTAGTTTAAGAGCATTGCATTAACAGCGGCCAATGTTTATAAAACCACCCCTTACTCTCTTTGAAGAGAATTGCATTATATAAATATTTTAATGTCAAGGAACCATAATTCCCGTTCCAATAAATAAGCAAGACGTTTGGGAAATACCACTTACTGCCTGAAGAAACCTTACCGGTGGAAACCATGGTAGCGTGTGTGGTTAGTGTTCCTTGACTTTAATATTTAATAGCTCTACACATTCGGTTATCTTTCTTACATTGTGTATTGAGCACTCTTTTATATAACCTTTTTTTTCAGAACATGTCTATCTTTCACCACAAAAAACCCTTTATATATATATATATATATATATATATATATTTCTTTTTTGAATTTTTAGGTCTGATGAATTGGATCGTGATTACGATTCCAATGTAATAAATTATAACGATGGAATATTAGTGTTTGAGCCTTTTATATATGGGCAGTGGGGGGAGGGGGGCTTGTATAATACTATCCGACACAAAAGTGATGATGACGAGTCAAATTTTATATCTTTTTTTTGTTTTTGTTTCAATCGAGTTCACTCCATGCAAGGTATTAAAGCCGCTGAGACACATGGAGTTACTGGGTAACTCCATGTGTCTCAGCGGCTTTAATACCTTGAATCAGGAATATTGTTAAGGAGCGGGAAAAGAGGAAAAGTCATCAGAGAGACAATAGATAAAGGTTGGCACTGCATTTTAAGTTTTGAAGATTAAAATTGTCGGAAAAGCATGGGGCCGAAAGTGAGTGCCACCAGCGACAAGTGCGAGAAAAGAAGTTTTTAGCATAGAACTTACGATTACATCTATCCAATACAACTGTAAAATGAGACCTTGCTGCCACTCGAGTACTGCGCTTAAATTCATAAAGTCTAGGCACCAAAGCGGAAAGTCCATCGGAACAGTTGCCATAATTGTATTTTTTTTTTTAAGCGTTTCATCCCAAGCAAGGCGGGAAGCCACAAGGACACAAGGGGTTACAGATGATTTGGAGCAAGATCAGATAGAAGTGATAGAGGAAAGTATAAGGAGAAGGATAGTGGATAGATCAAGGCAACTGGAGATGTCGATTGACATTACATTTGAATAGTTGGAGATTATAGCTCTCAGGGAAACAGGAATAGGGAAAGGAATTCCACAGGCAAGAGGTGCGATATATGAAGCTATTGGAGTAGAAGAGACGGCTACATTTAATAGTTTCGACGGCCGTGGAAAAGTGACTAAAGCCGAGATGCCAAAACATGACCAATAATATTGCTGATTCTTCTTTGGATTTTATCGAGGTGCTCTAGATAAATAGCAGGAGTACCGGACCATATATAGCAGCAATATTTTAAGCATGGACGAATGGTAGAATTATAGTTATATAAAATAAATTCTGGAGATAATTTTTTTTATCAAAGACGCGTTTTGTCGTAGAAAGGTTATGCTCTCTTTGGAATCAGCTGTTTGATTAAAAGAATGACATAACTTTGTATTAGGAGAATGTTTTGGAATTTCTGAGAACATATGATACTGCATACAAAAATAATAAAATGTCTATGAATTAAAATCCTACAATAACAAACGACTCTGAAACAGTTATGGACAAAACAAGCCCAGAGTTATACAGACTCTCTTCAAATCTCAAACCAGGAATTGATAAACTTTGAGTAATTAATGTGATTTACAACAACTTATCCTCAGAGAAACAAAAGCCTTCTCCTCACACACGCGAAACGCATTTATAAAATTTTTTACACAACGTTCTTATATATATATATATATATATATATATGAAGACGTTGTGTAAAGAATATATATATATATATATATATATATATATGAAGATTTGTACGTTTTATATATATATATATATATATATATTTATATATATATATATATATATATATATATATATATATATATATATATATATATATATATATATATATATATATATATATATATATATATATATATATATATATATATATATATATATATATATATATATATATATATATATATATATATATATATATATATATATATATATATATATATATATATATATATATATATATATTATAATTGAATGAAAGATGAAAGAAAAGTGGAGTAGTGGATAGCAGCTCGATTGACGTATCGGAGAACCGATTTCGAATTCCAGTTGAATCCATTACATTCACTTACGTGTTAATACCCTTGGGAAAGGTATTAATCTTCTACCTCCAGCTATGGGTAATTAGCAGGACGGACTGGATTCTATAGCCTTGGATGGCAACTGATCTAGGAGAAGGACAACTCTGAATTCAAAACCTGCGGAGTGTCGTTTGGGAACCTTGTGGCATTCGGTGCACCAGGTTTCTGTATTCGTCCCCTCAAAAAGTGTGGATGGTCCTGCCCGAGGCCTTCACCACTATAATCAAATCTCATGTGCCGGTGTCAGGCTGTCGGTTTCCTGGAAACACGTAGTGCAACAGGTCTCTGTATTCGACCGTTCAAAAAGCGTGGTTGGTTCTGCAGAAAGCCTTCGTCACTATAATCAAATATGTTCTGGTGTCTGGCTGTCGTTTCCAAGGAACTGAACTGCTTCATCCTCATACGTTGAATACGACGGGAGAGTCCACCATATATATATATTTATTGTAGGATATTAAAACAACATGTAAAAATCGCTACACAATTGCAGTCGGGTTTCAACGCATACTAATGCGTCTCTTAAGCGATTGTAATTTACTGGTAAGTTAACGTTTAATTTGGTTTCAAAAACAAAATACATCCCCTTTTTTAAAAAAAACAAAGGGTTGGGGACTATACCCTGACCACCCAATCGAATATTGCCTACGTTCAATTCAAACTAAGCGAAAAAGAAAAAAATTAAAAGTTTCTTAGAAATCGGTCATGATCGAGAATTATTTGTCGATATCAG